CAAGGCGAAAGTACCATTGGCTATGATGGTTAGAGATAACTTGGCTGGATCGTGACCCACAGTGTATTGCAGTTATGAATTATGTTTGTTATTTGATATGGCTGTCCTCTATTTTTACAGTTGTTGTGTACCATAGAGTTAGAATAGACTCATATGTGACTTTCTGGTGTTTTTTTTTCAGAGGCAGTTAATTGCAGTAGAGGAGACTTGCCCATCCTTCTCTGTGGAGCAGCTGGTGGCCTCGAACCACGTGCTTTTGGGAAGGTAGCACAGCTTCTTGCCACTAGGCCACCAGAGCTCATATAAATTTTCACATAACCACCTGGCCTTTGGAACCAACCATGTCAATAAATTAGGAGTGGGTGTATCAGATTCAACAAGGTTATCAAACATTATTACATTGTGTCTAAATACTTTCAATCTCTGACCTACCCTACACTGTTCTGCAAAACATACTTTCTTTTATGTAGTTGATTCTAAAACATTAAGGTATAAAAGAATCACTCTGGGTTCTTTTTAATTGTGGCTCTTATTTAAATCTAGAGTGAGCCTGAGACTCTGTATTTCTAACAAGTTTGCAAGTAATGCTGATGCTGCTTCTCTGAGGACCACATTTCCTACAGAAAAGCATCAAGTATGAGGACTTTCACAAACACTTTTATTTGTTCTTCACAGCGATCTTTTCAGCAAAGAATTTCAATTCCATTTTACGCAGTTGTGAGATTTTAGTCAGATTACTGAGATAGAATTTACATACAGGAAACGAGCCTTTTTAGTTTAGAGCTCTGTGCGGCTTTGACAAGCACATGCAGTTGTGTAAGCACCACAATAATAAAATGATACAACAATTCCACAGCCCCCAAAAGATTTGTCATCCTCCCTTCCCCACTTTGCATCCCCTGACAATCATTGCTGTTTTTGCTCTTCCTGTAGTTGAATTAAAGCCATATAAATGGATCCAGATAGCATATTGCCCTTTGCATCAGATTTCTTTTACACAGCACCAGGAATTGTCTCATGTACTAGCAGTTTATTATTTTTTGTAGCTGAGTTATATTCTACTTCATGGATATAGCATAGTAGATACATTTACCCACTGAAAGCCATTTGGTGGTTTCTTGAGTTTGGTGTTTATGAGTAAAAAGATAAACTGCTATAAACATTTGCATATATGTTTTTGTGGGAAAGTTTTCTCAGTAAAAATCTTGGCAGAAAATTGTAATACTACAAAGAGGAAAAGAATAACATTGTGAATCCAGTATGGTGACTTCAAACACAGCGTATTGATGGTAATGACTAAAAGAGATTTTCACAGGGCAGATAAAAATTAGTTTGAAGTTTGACAGCCATCCCAAAGGCAAATGATACCTCTTAATATGACAGGTAGTTGGAAGTAACAAAAAACATATAGTCTCAACATGATGCTACTATATAATTTAAAAACTAGAGATTTAGAAATATCTTAAACCCCCCAAAATGAGATGAGAGATAGTAAATTCAGCATCTGAGCTCCTGGTGTTTGCTAGAGCATAAACACTGGTTTTGATGATTCCTACGGTATTGCCAGGACAATATCTGTCAGTGTTTTATTAACTATGCAAAGTCATAGTCACAACAAGTTACAACAAGTTTGTTGTGGATAGCAACACACTATGGCTAATACTGAAAAGAATGGGAATCCCAGAACACTTATTTGTGCTCATGCAAAACCTATATCTAGACCAAGAAGCTGCTATCAGAAGAGCATAAACACTGCATAGTTTAACTTTGGAAAGGTTATGTACCATTTCTCCTTACCTATTCAGTCTGTGTCCTGAGCAAGTAATATGTGAAGCTGGATTCTGTGAAGAAGATGTAGCATCAGAATTGGAGGAAGACTCATCAATAACTTGCGTTATGCGGATGACACAACCTTTCTTGCTGAGAGTGAGGAGGACCTGAAGTGCTTGGTGCAGAAGATCAAAGACTACAGCCTTCAATATGAATCATATCTTTTTTTATTTAAAATAACTCTGCTTTATTGGAAATCCACTGACTTCTATAACTAGCATGTATTCAGTGCTTGTTAAATGCAAAGAAGTTTGGTAATAGCAGTTCAACTGTTAACTTATTTAATTCTCTGCAAGTGACCATATTTTACAGATGAGAAAAGTGAGATCCTGAGAAGTTAAGTCATTTGTCAAACTTCTGACTCTTCTCAGAGGAGGAACTAGATTCAGAGTCCAAGTGGTTCAGTGTTAGGCGGTGTTGCTTCTATAGAGGCTATAAATCTGTTGAAGGGAGGCAATTGTTTGAGCTCTTTGTAAAGTTCTCTTTTTCCAACATACTGTGTGTTAGGTTTGGAATATTTTCACTTCATTAATAATGAGCATCAAAATCTCTAATAATGACTTTACCAAGAGTTTTATCCCTGGAGTTCAGTTCTCACAGGCCTGGGGGAGAAGAAGAAAGAAAGAAAAGCAACCGTGTTGTTTGGGCTTTCTGAAGATGGCACATACTCTTCAGACAGAGGCTAGAGGAGCAGGCTGTAGTCACAAGGGCACTGACCCTCGTGCCATGTGACTTCACTGGTCGGTAAGCAGGAGTGGAAAGATGCTCTGTGTTTGACTCCCGCCTTTAAAGAGCAGAACTGTCGTGAACAGAGAAGTAGCTTTGAGCAAAATAGGGAAAAAAGTAAAATGTCAACGTGGCAAACAGCAATAGATCTCAGAAGCAGTGGCTGGAGATTGGAATAATTTATTGAGAGTTCATTTGAAGGTTGGAAGACTTCCAACTGGCTGGCCTTTTATAGAAGGCCACACAAGCAGGGCTGCCCTGAAGCAAAGTATGAGTGCTTTGCCTCAGATCCTCTGAACAACTTAACATCAAGAAGACAAAGGTTCTTAACACTGGGCCAGTGGGCAACATCATGATAGGTGGAGAAAGGATTCAAATGATTTAGTTTTGTTCGGATCCAAAATCAACACTCTCGTATCAGCAGTCAGGAGATAAGGAGTTGCATTGCTTTGGGCAAGTCTACTGTGAGGATCTCTCCAAAATATTGAAGAGCAATCACTGCCACACACTTTTAAATTGACGACTGTCATTTGTGGCAACATGTTAAAGACTAAGTTGCACCTGATTCAGGCAACAGTCTTTTCAATTACTTGCTATGCATCTGAGAGCTGCACAATGAATAAGGATGACAGAAGGGTTGATGCCTTTAAGTTGTGGCATTGGAGAATATTCTATGGACTTTCAAAAGAACGAAAAGTCTTCGAAAAGGGGCAGCTGGAGCACTCCTTAGAGGCAAGGATGACAGAGCTTTGCACCTCATACTTTGGACATGTTGCTAGGAAAGATTATTGTTTAGAAAAAGATATCATGCTTAGTAGGGTAGAGGATCAGCAAAAGAGAGGAAGACCCCCATTGAGAGGAATTGACACGGTGACTGCAGCAATGGGCTCAAGTGTATCAAAGATAGTGAGAAAGGCACACAATAGGATGAGATTCAGGTCTGTTTATAGGGTCTCTATGAGGTGTACTCAGTGGCACAACAACAACAATCTACAATTATACAGAGATACCCTTTTCCCTAAGCAAATAGGAAACCAAGAATAATTTCTTTTAAGCGGTTCTACATAAACAGAATGGATCTCATTTGATTGGTATGTTAAGTCCTTTCATATATAAGGTGAGGGAAATAATATAGCGAGATGGATATTCAAATTCTTGGCCTCTGAATCTGGGCTGTGCTTCTGGACCTGTACAATTGACACATAGAATCAAGATTAGTCCAGTGTTCCTCTGATTATCTGAAGTTATGCTAATCGGAATACTATCCTACCTGGATAGTAAACACCAAGTTCCTCTGGGAACTAGATCCATCTTGAGAGGCAGGGCCTTTTTCTAAGAGGTGATTTTGGCAGATGCTTGTTATGATTTGTCACAGGCAGCTCACACCCGGTAGTCAGTCTGTTTATTATTGCACTTCCAGATGGGATGGTTGTTGTTCTCTCCTGTGAAAGGGCCTGTAACAGAAGCCATCCTAGGTATATGAACACAGAACCTAAAACTAACTCAACTCCCTCATGTTTGTAAGTGGAAACCTGACCCAGAGAAATGCAATGCCTTAGAGAGTCACACGAAAAAGAGATCTATGAGATAAGTCCACCCCAAACTGGAAGTGAACAGGCTCGGGCAGGGGCTGGGGGAGGCTGAGGAGTGAGTTCTGCCCTGTCCAGGGCGCCGATGCCTGGAGCAAGTCCCCAAGATGGTCGTTGGCTTCAACGTAATGCAGCAGCTTCAGAGTGTACGTGCTCTAACAGAGCTTGTGGCCCAAGTACGTGGCTCAATTTCTAAGCAAGGGAACTATCTCTGGACAGTTTGCCAAAGCAAACGTCGGGAGGGTGGATCTTGAGATGGGCCTTCAGGTAACCTGTGTTTCCAACACTCCTTGTCCCCAGTGAAACACACAAACATTTTTGGTTTGTATTGATTTCAGATCCTCAATCTGCCTTTGGTGTCTTGAAAAGCATTTAATCAACAGTTGTTACCTCTTAGATTTACTTGGGCTCCAAGCTCTGAGAAAGAGCGTACACTTTGAAGCGGCTGCATTACGGTGAAGTCAAAGACCATCTTGGGGACTTCTTCCAGGCATCAGCGCCCTGAACAGCTGTATTGCAGACACAGGAGAACTCGCGCCGAAGTCTCCCACAACCCCTGCCCAAGCCTGGTCACTTCCAGTTTGGGGGGGGGCGGCGCCAAGTCCGATCCTAATCCCCCTACTCCGAGCCCCACACGGGGAGCTCCTCCCCGGGCAGCGGGGAGCGGCCCCGCCCTGCTCGCCCAGCCCGGCTCGGGTGGGGCCCCGGTCCTGCGCCTTAAACGCAGCGCTCAAGCCGCGCCTTGGAGGACACTCCAATCGCGGTTCCGCCGGCAACTCCTCCCACATCCTCGCAGGCACTGGGCACCGATCCTTCCCGAGCTTCCCTCTCCAGGCCGCCCCGCGCTCCGCGACCATGCTTCGCTGGCTGCGGGGCTTCGTGCTGCCGGTGGTGGCCTGCGAGGGTGCGCCATCGGCCTCGCTCTATGAGTCCCTCTTCCAGCAGCTGGACCGCAATCGGGACGGAGTGGTGGACATCAGTGAGCTGCAGGAGGGCCTCAAGAACCTGGGCATCCCCCTGGGCCGCGACGCCGAGGAGGTGGGTTTCTTCGAGGCGCGCGCGGGGGTGTGTGTGGGGGTGTGGGTGGAGCACGAGGAGGAGTAAGGAGCCCCGACCGAGGGTTAGGGCGGCGGCAGGCTCAGGAAGGCGGAACTGCGGTGACCAGTCTGCGGAGGGAGACCTGGTCAGAAACTGGCCAGTGGAGTGAATCTCCATTTCCCCTGCAACATGGATGCAGAACGGGATCTGAAAGACAGCCAGTAGTTTTCCAAATCGAGTTAGAACTGCGAAGACTTTAGCCCTTGGGCACTCTTAAAATGTTATACACTGAAAACACTTTTTATCTTTTACCTGCATCTGTGTCAGTCAGTCCTTAGCATTCACAGCAGTGCATCTCAGGTTCTGCAGAAGAGCTCAAACTTTTGTGCCCCATTTGTTGCTGGTTTTAGCCGCTGTTTCAAAGACAAGCCCTTTGAAAAGCTAGTATTATACTTCTCCCAACTTCCTGTTGAGGAGGAGAGGCAACATTCCATTCTTTCATACTTTCTTGTGATACTACCCTGAGTACATAAATTGATCCAAAGGGTAGGCCATTCCAACTTTTGCAGCCTGTGAGTCATTTTAATTGTTCCCCCCCCCGCCGATCAGGGTGGAGCTGTTTGGATCCTCTCCAACCCCACTGGAACATGAGATACTCTGACATTCCCTCTATAAAGAGGGAGAGTGATTAGGGAACACCTGTCTTACAGTTGTATTTAAAGCTACTCTTTCAGTGTCTATAATAGTTATAGGCCTATTTAATGGACATTATTTTTCCCTTGAGCCACATTTTAAAGAGTTTAAGTTTTCTTAAGGAAATTGGCTCATTTTATGTGTGTTTTGTAATTGGCACTCATGATTCTTCCTGTTTTCCCCTTCCTCTCTTATCTCCCGATCTTCTGAAAGATTGTCTATTTTGTTCATACTTTGAAAGAATCCACCTTTGGTCCTTTCTGCTGATTGCCTACGTATATCCCCCCCCCTTTAATATTTGCTTTGTTAGTTCCTTGTTTCCTCTGCATGTACTCATTTGCGATTGTTATAATTTTTTAATATTTTTATTTCTTTATTTGTGTGTGTGTGTGTGTACCGTCAAATCAGATCTGACTGGTACAGGAGGAGATTGTCCCTCCTTCTCCAGCAGAGCATCTGGGGACTTGAACCGTGTACCTCTAATATTGCAGTGCAGCTTCTTGTCACTAGGCCACCAGAGCTCCCTGCGATTGTTATAATTTTTAATGTTGAATGTTCCAGTACAACCTGAGTGTTCCTTAGAGTTAAGGGTGGTGAAATGTCTACTTTGACATGTCAGAAGAGGCCAGACTTTGGAAAAAGACACTGGGAGAGGTAGAGGGTTACCCAAAGAGAGGAAGAACCTTCAATAAGACTGAGACAGTGGACTGTAATAGTGGGCTCAAGCATGTGAGAGATTGTGAGGAAGGTGCAGGATAGAGCGAGGCTCTGATCTGTGATCTGTTGACAACAACTGAAGTAGTGGCCCTCTGAGGTAATGTACTCTCTAAGGTAGTGGCCCTCTCTGAGGTAGAGTCTAAAAGAATAAACTAATCTGTTTTGTATTGATTGTGTATCCCCAGAGTTTATGTTGTAAATCCTGTACTTATGATCAGCTCTGGTGGCCTAGTGGTACTAAGCTGCACTGTAATGCCGAAGGCACATAGTTCAAATCTATCAGCAGCTTCACCAGAGAAAGATGGGCAGTCTCCTCCTGTGTGATTAACTCTGTCTGAAAACCCACTGGAGGATCAGCTATGGGTCAGTCCTGACTCAATGGTACACAATGACATGATTGGAGCTCTGGTGGTGTAGTGCTTTAAGAGTTACCCTGAGAACCAAAGAGCAGTCAGAATCCACTCACTGTTCCACATTTGAAAGATGGGCAGTCTCTTCCTGTAAAGATACATGGCCTTTGGAACAGATGGAGGATGATCACTGTGAGTCAGAATCCATGTAGTGGGTTGGGATACCTGTGATTATAATCTTGTTTGAGAATAGGTCATTTCATTAACAAGGCATTTCTAGCACAGGACATGTTTTTAGTCAAGTTCTTTAGAGATTAAAAAGAAGCAGATGTAGGGGATAAAGATAGGGGAAGACAAATGCCGTGCTGTATGAAGATCAGCAAGGAGCCAAAGAATAGAAGCTGAAGAGACAAAGACCTTCTGCCAGAGCCAACAAAGAAAGTGTGGTAGCATAGACTGTGACCTGATATACTCTTAACCAAGGCACTACATGTCCCTAGCTGTTGGAAACCACCAACAGTTTCACAGGAGTAAATAACGGTTTCCTTCCTTAGGATTCCAGGTCAAGTAGCTAGGCCAGGCTGTTCCTTGGAAAGGAACAACATGCTTGAAAAGATGGAAGTTCAGCAAAGGAAAGGAAGACCCCTAATGAGATGGATTGACATGGTGACTTTAGCAATGGGCCCTAGTGTGTGTCAGATATGATGAGGATAGCACATGATAAGGCAGGTCTCAGGCCAACTGTTCATAAGGTCACTATGAGGTGTAAACAACTTGACAGGACCTAACAAAAATAATAACCCTTATTGGGCC